TTTTTTTTTTGCAGCAACAACAATTTGATATGTTGGAAAATATGAATGATATTGATAGATATTTGATGAACGAATCCATCAATCTATGACGCTTTTAAAGAGTTAAATTAGAAAAATGTCTTATCTAAAAGAGTTCCAATATGTTTATAGGATGGTTTTGGACGTCTTAACAAATTCTATTATGTTTTTAAAATAAAGTGTCGTATTAGTTATATTATACAACACGACTTGAAAAAATGTCATATGAGCATAGGTGTCCTATAAATAGATGAGTTTACGGGACACTTCTCAAAATGTTTCTATAAAATAACTAATACGACATTTTATTTAAAGATCATTCTAAAACACTTGTTGAAACGTCAAAAAACGTCCTATAAACCTATTGCAACATTTTTAGTAGGACGCTTTATAGTATGTTCTATTAACTTAAGATTTATGAATTATTTCATTCGTCAAATTATGTAACTACTAACCCGCCAACTCAACCCAACCCAACCCGGCTCAACCCGCAAGGGTTGGGTTATACTTTTGAATGAGTTGGGTTGGATTGAGATTTTCCAAACCACCATAATTGGGTTGGGTTGTAAAATTGTTGTAAACCGCCCAACCCAACCCGCGTTCACCCCTACCTCAAACTGTTTAATTTGCTCTGAAACAAAATCATATATACATTTATTTACAGCTTGAAATAACGTACAAATGAAGATACGAAGAGATACAAAAAAAAAAAAAACTAACAGAAATTTAAAAAAAGTCAAACTCGCACCAAAATAACGTGCATGATTAGAGTAAAACCGAAGAAAACAAATCTAAATAAAAACAAAACTGAATGACACAAAACGTAATTAAAAAGCATGAATCAATAAAAATCATATAAATATTAATTTACTTATTAAACAATAAGTCTATAAGATAATAACATCTCAAGGTCTCGACACTATTAATTAAAATTGCTTTTACTGTAAATAGAATTTCAAAATCACAACATTCGTAAGGTACACATGTCCTTACAACATTATGTGATAATATTACTGGTTTATGTCGTACAATGACATTCAACTAATTATTATTCCACAGTTAATAATTAAAATAAACTTTTTTAATTGAAATTCTAATATTTTAAAAATATATATAACGTATTCTCTCAACATGCGGAAATAAATAACGTGACAATTTTTTAACAAATAAATATTTATTAGATTATGTAACCATCATAATTATATCTCGTTTAATGACACAATTTACTTTTCAATTAGTCCAAATGAAACCCCCATTGCATTTATTTGAACATTTATTTCAATAATTCCGTAAACAACAAATATATAATATGAAAATTAAAATAATAGTTAATTAAAATTATCCGATAAAAATCGTTTGATGATGGTTAAAAAAATATTTGGTTCAAGTAAATTCAATTTTTATGTTTCATGCACTTCTTTGTACTAGAAGGGTACTCGCACAATGCAACGAGATATATCTTCATTTTAATGCTTTATTTTATTTTTTGTCTTTGTTGATATAATACGGTTTATGTGGTTTTGAGAAAGATAATGTTTTTTACTTTTGAATAAACATAAATTTGAAGTCATCATAAAAATATGGAAAAAAAATCCCTTTGTGGCCATGTTGGTTCAAATGCGGCGATTTCGAGCTACCTGCAAAGCAGGTGGTTGCCCTGCAATTAGTCAGCTCGCATAGCAGGTTGGATATCCAGGATAATAAAAAAAATATGAAAAAAAAATATATCGATACTAATATCAAATTAACTATTTAAAATATCACATTTTTTTGTACAATTTATTTAATTCAATTTTTCTTATTATAATTTAATTTAGGTCAAATAGTGAAGTAATTTATTTTTGGCTTAACAATAAAATTTTATAAATATAACGATTATATTAGAACTCAATGATTATCCTAATTATATTTTATATTTTTTGTATTTAAAATGAGATGTTTATTCTGTATTTGATTATGTTTATCTGCAGTTAGTTATACGAATTCAAAAATGGAGTTTTAATAAGTTGTACTTACGTACAATTTACTTGTAATCTTAAATTTTAAGTAATATAATTAATACATAATACTTCATGCATAAAAAAATGGTTTTTAAAATTTTTGTTAAATGTTTTATAATATAGTATAGATATGAATAAAATAAAATAAAAAATTAGAATAAAGTCATAAAATTAATATTTCTTTGTATATGAACAATATTTATTCTACCAAAAGACTTTTGGCCTAGCGGCATCATAGTCTTTGGCTTCCTAGAAAATCAGAGGTTCAAACTTTACCAAATTTAAGGAGCATATGAGTTTATTTGTTGCATTTGCCATATATAAATTTTATATATTTAAGAAAACAAATAATTATTCTCTGTGATTTTTTTGTGAGACCCGTAAGACCAATTCTCAACCTTTAGATTAGATTTACAATCCGAACATTCTTAATCACAAAATTGCCACGAGACTTCTCAATAATCACAAAATTGCCACCGTGCAACTTTAGACTATTAAATCATTAGCTTGTAAAGTTGATCAATAAACATAAATTGGAACCTTTGGTCTCACGTGAACACAACCCTATATATATATATATATATATATATATATATATATATATATATATATATACAGAGGAGCGATCAAATGAAAACCACCCTATTTATAAAAACCGTACAAACCAATCTCATATGTCGATTTCATTGTTTAATCTTATGAAATTTTTTAATGAAATTGTTTTATCTTGTGAAATTGTTTCATATAATATTTTTTTTGATGAATTTGTTTCATATATGGTTATGAAATTATTTCATATAATATTTTATAAAATTTTAATGAAACTGTTTCATGTATTTCTCTAAAATTAAAATAATGAAGATGATAATATCCATGATTAACACCGTCCACAATAAAAATGGTTAATCAACCTCTTATAATTACAAAAAAGTGAACAAAATGAAAAATTATTATTGGTTGATTGAGGTTTTCACGGTTTTTACAAATTGAGTGGTTTTTATTTGAATGTTCCCATATATATATATATATATATACACACACACACACACACACACACATTAGAAGAATACTTGTGCAATGCCTCGAGATACATCAAGATAATATTTTGTTATATTTTTTGTCATTGTCAATATAATACGGTTTTATGTGATTTTGAGAAAACAATAATGTTTTTCTTCATTAAAATTTGAAAAAAATATATCGAAATTAGTATCAAAGTAATTTTTAAAAAATTCTCGTTTTTATGTCATTTGTTTAATTCAATTTTTTTTATCATAACTTAATTTAGGTTTAATAATAAAGTAATTTATTTTTGGCTTAATAATATAATTTTTATAAGAATAATAATTAAGTATTTTGTTGTAAGTATAACTCAATAATTATTCTAATTATATTTTAGATTTTTTATATTTAAAATGAGATGTTTATCCTCTATTTTATTATGTTTATCTACAGTTAGTTAGACGAATTCAAACATTGAGCTTTAATAAGCTGTACTTACGCACAATTTACTTGTAATCTTGAATTTTAAGTAATATGCATCAATATACAGTATTTCATGCATAAAAAATAGTTTTTAAGAGTTTTTGTCAAATGCTTTATAATATATTAGTAATATGTTTTAGTTAATTATGTTATCATGTTTTAGTAATTCCTTTTTACAACAAGTCCTACATATAAAATTAATATAAATTATATAAAATTTATAAGGAAAAAAATTATAATTTTAAAATAGAAAGATTATTTTTTATTTCTGAAAATTTAACTAAATTTTTTGTTAAATAAATATTGTTACACCAAATATAATGTTTTACTATTTGTAACATCACCTTGTTTTTGTAAAAGATGGTTAAATAAATATTATTTCTAATACAATTTTTTGATAATAGATGATGACTCCATTCGATTAATAACAAAATAATCTATGAATTAGCTTAAAAAATTATTTTCAATTAAGATTAATTCATATATAAAACCTTTTTTTTATTCTTTTCATGATAACTATTATTATTATTATTAAAAACGAAATCTATATATTTATACTGGTCATTGGGAATTAGTATTTTTATAAGGTTTTTGAAATTAACATTTTAAGGAGTTTGTTGTGAATTTATATTTAAAAACTAAAAAGGTACTCGTGCAATACATCGATATATATCTTGATTATATTGTTTCATTTTTTATTTTGGGTCTATCGATGTTATAATGCGACTTTATGTGGTTTTGAGAAAAAAAAGTTTTTATTTTTGAATGAAATACAAATTTGAAGATATTATAAAATTTTTAAAAAAATAAACAATATTAGTATTAAATTAATTATTTAAAAATTCTACTTTTTGTGTAATTTCGTTAATTCATTTTTTATTATAATTTAACTGAAGTTTAAAAATGAACTATTTTATTTTTGGTTTAATAAAATAATTTATTTAAGATAATAATTAAGAATTCTGTTAGAACTCAATAATTATCTTAATTATGTTTTGAATTTTTTATATTTAAAATGAGATGTTTATCTTCTATTCGATTATGTTATCCGCAGTTAGTTACACGAATTCATACATGAAGTTTTAATAAGTTATACTTATACATAATTTACTTGTAATCTTGAATTTTAAGTAATATGCATCAATATACAATACTTCATGCATAAAAAATAATTTTTAAGAGTTTTTGTCAAATACTTTATAATATAAATATTGATATTGATAAAAATAAAAACTAAAATTATGGTATTACATAAAATTTATTTAAAAATTATTAAAATATTAAATGCACCGAATATTTTATATAATTAATAGTAAGTTATTGAAATAAAGTTAAAAGTTAAATGTAATTTTTATTAAAGATTTTTGACTTTTAATTTTAGAAAAACTAATAAATAAATTATATTTAAGTTAAGAAAATCCATTTTGAGCCAAATTTATATAAAAAACACATGATCTCACTCACTCTCTACTCCCGTCCTACTTTACCCACCCCCACCTTCTTCTTCCTTCCCATTTCTCCTCTCTCTAACAAACCAGTAGAGAGAGAAAGAGATTGCCATTAACATGAGCTTCCTCTTCCTCCTCCTTCTCTTACTACTCATACCGAACTCCTTTGCCGCCAAATCTGGCCGCTTGCCGGAATATTCCGCACTTCTATCCATCAAATCCGCCATTACCGACGATCCACAATCATCTCTCTCCACCTGGAACCTTTCTACCACCCACTGCTCTTGGTCCGGCGTCATTTGCGACTCTAGACGTCGCGTTGTTGACCTTGACATCTCTGGCCTTAATCTCACCGGTACTCTCTCATCCGACATTGGTCACCTCCGCTACCTCCTAAATTTCACCATCGCTGCCAACAACATCGCCGGTGTTATTCCACCGGAGTTCTCCTTCATTACCGGCCTGCGTCTCCTCAATCTCTCGAATAATATTTTTAATGAAACGTTTCCGCCGGAACTTTCTAGCCTCAAGTCTCTGCGAGTGCTTGACCTTTATAACAACAACATGACTGGCGACCTTCCCGTTGCCATCTCCGAAATGACCAATCTCCGTCACCTCCACCTCGGCGGAAACTACTTCTCCGGCATAATTCCGCCGGAGTACGGCCGGCTGCCGTTCCTTGAGTACCTTGCTGTCTCCGGGAACGAACTCACTGGCCCTATCCCTCCGGAAATCGGAAACTTAACAAACCTCCAGCAGCTCTATCTTGGTTACTACAATGGTTACACCGGCGGTATTCCTCCAGAAATCGGTAACTTATCAAGCCTCATCCGTTTCGATGCTGCTAACTGTGGTCTCTCCGGCGAAGTTCCTCCTGAAATAGAGAAGCTTCAAAACCTAGACACGTTGTTCTTGCAAGTAAACGGGCTCTCCGGATCTTTAACCAAGGAGCTCGGAAGCTTAAAGAGTTTGAAATCAATGGATTTATCAAACAATATATTCACCGGAGAAATTCCCGACTCCTTCAAAGAGCTCAAGAATCTCACCTTACTCAATCTGTTCCGTAACAAACTTCACGGCTCGATACCGGATTTCATCGGAGAACTGCCGCAGTTAGAGGTATTGCAGCTGTGGGAAAACAATTTCACCGGCAGCATTCCGCAAGGTCTGGGCAAGAACGGGAAGCTACAGATCCTTGATCTGTCTTCCAACAAACTCACCGGCACACTTCCTCCGAATCTGTGCACCGGAAACAATCTCGAAACGGTAATTACTTTAGGAAATTTTTTGTTCGGTCCGATTCCGGCGTCTCTAGGTCAATGCCAATCGTTGAATCGAATCCGAATGGGCGAAAATTTCCTAAACGGTTCGATTCCGAAAGGGCTTTTTAGTTTGCCACATCTCTCACAGGTTGAGCTTCAGAACAACCTTCTCTCCGGCGAATTCCCGGTGACCGATTCTGTTTCCGTCAACCTCGGTCAGGTCAGTTTGTCCAACAATCGCCTAACTGGTCCATTACCCGCTAGCATCAGCAACTTTTCCGGCGTACAGAAGCTTTTACTTGATGGTAACAAGTTCACCGGCCGCATTCCCGGCGAAATAGGGCAATTGCAGCAGCTATCAAAGATTGATTTCAGTCACAACAGTTTATCCGGCGAGATCGCCCCGGAGATCAGCCAATGTAAGCTGTTAACGTATGTGGATCTTAGCCGTAACCAACTTTCCGGCGAGATCCCAACTGAAATCAAAGGCATGCACATTTTGAATTACTTGAATCTTTCTCGTAATCATTTGGTGGGCAGCATTCCAACCTCCATAGCATCAATGCAAAGCTTAACATCTGTTGATTTTTCGTATAACAATCTTTCCGGTTTGGTTCCCGGCACCGGTCAGTTCAGTTACTTCAATTACACTTCATTTGTGGGCAATTCCAATCTCTGTGGACCTTATTTGGGACCTTGCAAAGAAGGGGTTGCAAATGGCACCCATGAACCCCATTCAAAAGGGACACTTTCTGCTTCTGTGAAGCTTCTTCTTGTTATTGGGTTGCTTCTTTGCTCCATTGTCTTTGCTGTTGCAGCCATTGTTAAAGCTCGATCGATAAAGAAAGCAAGCAAAGCTCGATCTTGGAAGCTAACCGCTTTCCAGCGGTTAGATTTCACTTGTGATGATGTTCTTGATAGCTTGAAGGAAGATAACATCATTGGGAAAGGAGGAGCTGGGATTGTTTACAAAGGGGTGATGCCAAACAATGAGCTAGTAGCGGTCAAAAGATTGCCGGCGATGAGTCGTGGTTCTTCTCATGATCATGGATTCAATGCCGAGATTCAGACTCTCGGGAGGATTAGGCATCGGCATATCGTGAGGTTATTAGGGTTTTGTTCCAACCATGAGACAAATTTGTTGGTTTATGAGTATATGCCGAATGGGAGTTTGGGAGAAATGCTTCACGGGAAGAAAGGCGGTCATCTTCTTTGGGATACAAGATATAAGATTGCGATCGAGGCTGCAAAGGGACTTTGTTATCTCCATCATGATTGCTCACCGTTGATCCTCCACCGTGATGTGAAATCAAACAACATCCTTTTGGATTCCAATTTTGAAGCTCATGTGGCCGATTTCGGGCTTGCCAAGTTCTTGCAGGATTCCGGAACCTCCGAATGCATGTCCGCCATTGCTGGTTCTTATGGCTATATCGCCCCAGGTATAATCTCAAGATCCTTGCTTCAGATGCTTCATAATAACCTATAAATTCTTGCAAGAAATTTCATTTATAATGCTTAATATCTTTATCTTGTGTTGTTTACACGGGTTTCTCACATTATTGGATTTGAATATCTAAATGTTCTAATAGACTGCTTTATTGGACTTAAGTTTATATGACGAAACAATTGTGCATTTAGTTATGATGCTCAAAAGTGCATTTCGAACTTATTGCAACACATTTACATAGGATGCACAATTGCTTGATCTTGTAAATTTAAGTCTTATAAAGTAGTCTGTGAGGACATTTAGACATTTGGTGTTGTGTACAACCAATCTTGTTGTAGTCGTTTAATGTCATCTTGGTTATATGGGGTTCTTGAATCAAGATTCAAGCATGCATCTTTATGTTGGTGTAATTGGTAAAAGATTATGTTTTCTTTATGTTTGCAGAGTATGCTTACACGCTAAAGGTCGATGAAAAGAGCGATGTGTACAGCTTCGGTGTGGTTCTTTTGGAACTGGTAACAGGGCGGAAACCGGTTGGGGAGTTTGGAGATGGTGTAGACATTGTTCAATGGGTTAGAAAGATGACAGATGGTAACAAAGAAGGTGTTCTCCAAATCTTGGATCCAAGACTCTCCACCATTCCAATCCATGAGGTGATGCATTTGTTCTATGTAGGCATGTTGTGTGTTGAGGAACAGGCTGTCGAACGCCCCACCATGAGAGAAGTCGTTCAAATCTTAACGGAGCTTCCAAAGCCTCCAAACTCGAAGGTCGCGGCAGATGGAGATTCCATGGCGGCGGCCACCACCACGGCTCCGCCATCACCCACCATGGAATTAGGTGGCAAAGGTGATCTTCTAAGCATCTGAAAAGAAAAGAAGATGAATTGGTTATTTGGGGTGGTTAATTAGGATTGGTTTTAACGTGATGATGGGTTTTATGTAAGTAGTTGGTTTTAGAAGTGTAATATGTGCATAGTAAGATTGGTTGGGGGGATCTCAAGTGATGTATTGTACTTTCTCTAATTCTATCTTCACAAATATGTTCCATCACTCTTACCTTTCTTTTCTTTCTAAATTTGTAGATTTTTGGAGCAAACTTTTCATAAATCTTCAAACTCTCTGAAATAATATAGCTCTTAGAGATATTTTTTTTTATTATTAATCTGGATATCCAACCCGCTATGCGAGCCGACTAATCTCAAGACGACCACCTACTTTGCAGATAGTTTGGAGTCACCGCGTTAAAACCTTCGTGACCATAAGAAGATTTTTGTTCCTCTTTGGATTTGAACTTGTAACTTCCTGGTACTTTTGATCTTTTGAGTCAAGCTCAAACCAATCAGGCACTACGCTTGTGGTTGTTAGAGATATTCTTAATCCTTATCATTTGAAAATTTTGTAAATATATAATTATTACTTTGAAAATTTTGTAAATATATAATTATTACAGTTTTTAATTAACATTCTGACAATTATATTTTTAATAACGAAAGAAGTAATTTTTTTTCATCTTATAATAAGGATAAAATTGAAAAAAATAGATATTTATTTTTAAAATGGACATTACTTAATAAAAATTTGAAATTATTTTTTTGAGGAAAAATGCACTTTCTCTATCTCTTGTGTCTATATTTTTATTTATGTTTACTTAAAAAGAGTGTTCAGTTTTAAAATAGATAATTAACTTTTTGTAGATAATAAAAAACTAATACAGGAAATAAACTACTTAACGATGAAATTATCATTTAATTAATTAGAAATTATAAATAAATAGTGTGAATTTCAATTAAAAAGACAATATTGTGGGAAAGTAAGAAGAGAAAATTTGATGAAATGTTTGTGTGTGAATTATTTGGAAAAATCCGAAAAGAATATGCATATGTGAACCGACGTTATAGATTAACATGCATATGTGAACTGACGTTACATATTATTCATACGAGTTTACTTATGAATCTTCAAATGATTCTTTTTAATGTTTTACATACAAACCTTTCTTTCTTACTTTTTTTTTATGATATATAACATCCTTATTTGAACCTACCACTGCATACATACATACATACATACATACATACATACATACATACATACATACATACATACATACATACATACTGTTAGTCCCGAAGGGCAAGGCAATAAGCAGAAAGTAATTGTAGAAGGGGGGGTTGAATACAATTACACAGATTTTTTCAACTTTTTAATTCTTATTGATTTATATCAAGAATTAATACACACAGAAAAACAAAAGATTGTTGCGGAAGATAGGAAAGGAAACCCTAACCTAAACAATCTTACAA